TAACCAGGATACTGCTGAACGTGATAGATCAACAACCCCAATGACCCATTTAAATCCAGCTTCTTAGATCAGTACGTACTTAGCATAAGCGATGCCAAAAATACTTCCATGAAATTTCTCCGGTGAGACTTTCGAGAAAACTGGGTGCATTTTTGCAAAACTGGTCCCTTGGTCGTCATCGAGAAAGACGAATAGGGCATTGGTTTCCTTGAAAACGACAATGAAAAAGTTCATATTGTGATTCGTATAAGTTCTGGATTTAGGCAGGTCTCCGTGTGGTTTGCAAGTTGGGTATCACCAAATTGCATAAACTTTTTAACCGCATCAGGAGACATATAGTCACTTGCCGGAACACCGGACCTGGAGGAGATCACCATTGTGACAGTGGTCTGTGCAATTTGTCTATGGAAGTCCGCACGCAACCGAAGGCGCAGGGTATCGTTGTTAAGGGCGCTCCCCAAAATCCTCATCTTCCGGTATGAAGTAGTGATTGCTATCGCACAAACTGACTCCCAACTGGAGAGTATGAATACTGTGGGATTGTTGATAGGTTTCTGCAAGTGTAAAGGGAAGCTGGATGACACAGTTATCGTAAAAACGCACATAGAAATTTATACGTTTAATACTTTGTGATAAATGATACTTTCAAGCAAAATTCTAGGAGAATCTTAGATATGAAAAGCTCAGTCCAAAATGGCGATGTTCTTTTTACACAGTTGGACAGAAAGTGTACAATAATACTTTAGGTAAGGAATATTATTTACAGCGATGTAAACTTGGACATGTTCATTGATTCAGTTTAGTTTAATTAAAGAAAAGGCAGGCGATCGCCTCTGAACTCCTCACTGGCTGCAAACGTATTGGAGAAAAACGATAGCCATAAAGCATTGAGAAGGATATTAATTGCATGCTTACATACCACATGCAACGTTAAAAATAGGTGTATCAGGTTGTACTTAATAATTGCAAGTAGTGAGCGTCTGTGTAATTTCAGTGACACGGCGTTGGGCTAAGCAGAAAATTGATGCTTGCTGATAGAAGCATCGACTGTCAGTGCTTCATAGGCTGTAGGCACTCTGTTACAGAAAGAAAATTTGCATCCATTAACCCTGGCCTTCCTTGTGCGTAGTTCTGGGGAATGACCGAATAAAGTAACTGTATTAGTCTAAGGAAAAGAATCGTTGGTGATAAGAAAAAGTCTATGCCAGGCATTATGTGAATAGTTGGAGTAAACCCTCCAGCAGCAGCTCGTAGGATAGGAGAACAAGGTTCAAAATCGACTGTCCGTCTGTAGAGGGCAGTGACTCCGAATCCTGTATCACTTTGGTGCCCAGTTTTGCTTATTCTCTAAGCGATTGAGTCTTTCGTGATCTAACGTCTCCATGACTGTATGGCGTATTCCATATGTGATCGCACGAATGGTCCGAACATTTTGGAAAAGCCGTCTTTATTAAAACCAATAAAACGTCGTCTGATTAGTCGCAAAATATATATGGTCAACATGGCTGCCATCGTGGAGTTCAGTGTTGGTTTGAGTGAAGATCTAATTCTCACCCAAGTCTTCCTGACTGTCTACTGGTTGCAGTGGTACACTGTTTGGAAATTTAGTTCTCGGGCTGGCGACTTTACAGTTGAGGGTGGTCTACGTCTGTCGCATTTTGGGTAACCTTCCGCAATAACATGTGGTCAGCAAACAGGATTGCATCATAGTTTAGGCCCCTGACGTAATCATGAATGAAACAAGAAGGAGCGTGGATCATAAATGTGGGCCCTGTGGGACGCCATTCATCCCGCTTCCTCTGAGCACTGCTGGCGCTTGACTTGCCCAGTTTGGAATCGTACAAACAAAAGTTTGCGGATTCGTACGAAAAGACTTCTGTAAACTCCCACGCTGCGCAATGTGTACAGGAAAATTTACCGATGGACACCGTCGACAGTCTTTTTAAAGACGATATAGACGGCGATCACCATACTACCCTCATCGAGTGCTTTCATTCAACGTTAAAACGAAAAGTGCTGATCAGCTTCAAAGAACCCGCCACTGCCAAAGCCGACTTCGTATTCGAGACAGGTAATTCACTAAAGAAATTGAATCGGCGCTTTCTTGACTGTATCCTTTGTGATTTCGCAAAATAATGGAAGTGAGACTCACGGACCTGTTCAACTTCCACTCTTAAATAGTTGCGGAACTTCAACCGGATGGTAGGCAACCAGTCAAAACAGATGACTGGAAGCGCAAGCCTATTAGCCTGATCAAGCCTAATGCCAGCTTTTTCAACAGCTTGACTGGGATTTTATCGGAGACTAAGAAAGCCAACTCTGTCAAGTCAAGCAACTCTCCCTGAATGATGTCTTCGACAAACAGGTGTGTATGGTAGGTGTATTCTCGTCATTATACGTTGGTGGAGTGTAGACAATTCCATTTGTAAAGGCGGACCAGATGGACACTTGTAGAGATGATCAGCATTGTCCCTGGACTCTGATATTTCTGAAATTGTAGCAGTTCGTAGCAGCTATTCTGTGTGCTCCATAATATATAGCCGGAAGCCGGAATTAGCCATGACATGAGTTCAACGGCTATTTTCGAAGTACTGCAGTTCTCCGCCGATAAGACTTTCGGTCCAGTGTATCTGTATCAGAAGTCCTATCAGTGCGGAACCTCTTTCCCAGCTTCCTCTCCTTGTTGACTTGCATCTTTGTGGATGGGGTCACTCAGAGAGGCATGTGCGTTTAACTTCTTCGCAGTGGCTGGAAAGGAGTTGTTGAACTAACGCTTTTAATGGTAACCAAACCTCGTTTATATCGCAGGAGAGTAAGAGTCCCTGGTTAATATGACGAAGTCCATTTTCAATCTGCTGAAAAACAATGGGCTAGATAGTGAACTAATGAGTACGTCTTATGATGTTTGTTTTGAAAGCAAAGATGACGTAGTCAAAATGGAGTGATTTAACCGGCATAACTTTGTTTCAGGGCCGAATATTATAGCACTAATTCATCTTCATCTGAAAGTCCTGCAAGCCGTCGCATACCCAGGATTACCAAGAAAGATAAGGGAAATTCGGTAATAATTTCTAGTTTGATTCTCATCTAGTCACTTACCTGTAGACCGGGAGACGAGAAAGATTTACTCGGACAAACCTTATTGGGTTTCAAATCTGTGTTGGGAACCTGGGCTGGGAAAACTGATGTAGAAAAATAAAAACACGTGCCCTTCGTTCTCCAATTTCAGAAGGTTCTTGTAAAAACAAAGGTCACTGGTCCGTTGTCCAGTGACGGAGCATCCGACTCGATGGCCAAGGATCCTGGGTCCGAATCCCTTGTACTCCAAACCCCGGGATGGGTATGGCTGACTGATGGCAGCTAATAAGCAAGAAAGTGTTCATCACGGCTTCCCTTGTCTTGATCGGAACCCTCCTCCCGGCAAATGTCTACGGTCGCTATTCGACCGCCATCGTGGGTTAAAACCTAAAGCAAAACGGTATGACATTGTTAATGGAGGTCCGACATAGTACATGTGTCATATCACAGCCAGACAATGGCCCCGTGGCAGAGTGTTCAGCTTAATAACAAAATGCAGGGATCAGAATACGAGGTGTCTCAAACTTGAGATTGCATATGGCTGGCCGATGAGGGATCATAGACCAGAAACTAGCATTCAGGTCTCCCTCGTCACTGTCCGCAGTCCACTCACATCTCAATAGAACCCTAGAATATAACAGGGCGAGTAGGCTCCTTGACGCGGTGAGCCCCTTTACCATAGCTTATGCAGTGGACATACTTTACTATGAAATTTTGGCTGGAGTTCTGGAACACTTTCTATATCGCGGTTCCGATGATCGACGCCAGTTTTAACTGACTTGCAGGAGGCCGCTGATATGGACGGTAGCGAATGATGGACTATAGATTCGGTAATTGCCTAAATACCACTACTTGTGCTGGGCCCATCCGATCCAAGAGTTTTCTGGGCGTTACGATCTGTTTTTAGACTTTCGGCATTAACCATTATGGACAGGACTGTTGTCGTGGTTTCTGGCTCAGGTGCTGTGGGAAGATCACTTAGAAGCGGCTGTTCATTTTGGTTGGCTTTTTTACAGTCGGATTTCTTCTTGTTTTACTGATTTCCTCGTTGACTGCTGTCAATTTTATTTTTTGCTTTTCGATCCTGTCCAGCCGTATCTGTTACAGAAGGCATTTCTGAAGAGCCTTTCAAGAGAGGCACTTTTGCTTTACTTCTTGTTATTCTTCCAGTGGGGGCACTTGTGTCGTCAGGTGTGTGTAAGTCATATTGTAGAAGAGCCATTATCTGTTCAATCCCTTTCTCTAGATGGTTGATCCTGAGGGCTAACAGCTGGCATCCACCACAAAGCCTACTTGCATGTGGCTCGTCCGTTTAATCTATATAATTTTGCGGGAGTGCAGGCGACCGTACTGAAGTGGCCGAGTGGTCTGGGTTTCTGAACGAATTTGCGAAGGTCGCGAGCCCGATTCCGCACGGGGGCATATTTTGGGCAGCACCGCACATGTTCGTAGTGCTTTCTTAAACTTTGAGTTGTCGTCAATCGTACCTCGACAAATGCTGACCATTTCTGGATGCGAATTTCCATTGGTCTCGACCTCCATCATTGTCTGTTGTTGACTATGGACTAATTACCACTAGAAGTAGAGCATATTTTGGCAGGCGGTTGTGCAGACTTTTGGCCAGCCGTCATACCCAGATGGCAAACTAGCTAGTTCAGATTCACCGTTTAATCAAGCTCCCGCTGTCCGCACACTCAAACTTCCCAGTCTCTTCTAGAACTCCTTCCACGAACCTGAAATAAATGATGACGAACCTTGCACATAAGTTAGCCGTAATTGAACTGCAAACCGAAGCTGATCGATGCCATCTGCTCGGCAAATCCCGCATACTCCTTCGTTTATCCCGACTCCAACTGGCACTTTCTTGTGTCATAGGGTATTTTGTGCCAAAGCATTCTGTCGCAATAAGTCCTGTTCATAAGATGATCTGGCGGCTGAACGATCGGGACGGTGAAGAACAGTGTATTCGGTCTGGCGTCCGACAGGGTTGTATCCTGTCACCCATACCGTTCAACTACGCTATTGACTGGATCCTCGGGAGGGCCCTACGCGACAGTGACGGCGTTGATTTTGCGCCCGGATATCGACTGACTGATCTCGACTATGCCGATGACATCGCCTTACTTGCTTCAAGTTTTGGTGATCTGCAGTCTATGGTGTCACTGGTGAACGAGGTCGCTAAATCAGTCGGTTTGTCCATGAACGCTGGGAAGATCAAAGTATTCTCAAGCTGTTTCCCTGACCAGGAGAAGGCACCCCTGGGGATTGATGGCTGTCAAATTGAAGAAGTGGACAGTTTTAAATACCTCGGGGCGCGGCTGCTGCCTAATGGACAGAGTAAGGACGATATTGTCTCCCGAATCGATGCTGCCCGCTGGGTTTTTTCAAGCCTTCGGAAATGCCTGTGGAGCCGACGTGACCTCTCATTCGCCACTGAGATTCGCGTGTCCCGTGCATCTGTCCGGTCTGTCCTTCTCTACGGTTGCGAATGCTGAGCTTTGCGCGTGGAGGATGAGCGAAAACTGGAGGTATTTGATCACCACTGCTTGAGGATTATCTTTCGAGTGAAGTTAACCGACTTCGTCTCAAATGAGACAGTCCGCGCTCGCTGCGACAACATCGCAAGGATAACTCAGGCCATCCAAGAAAGACGACTGAGGTGGTTCGGGCATGTTCTTCGTCGTCCACCTCAGGAGCTCAGTGTTACCGCCCTCGATCCGGCACCGTTGCCCCATTGGAGGCGTCAAAGAGGGGGTCAGTTCAAAACCTGGCTCGACACTGTCCGTCAAGACATGGAGGTGGTTCTTGGACCTTCGGTATTCGGCCTCCGTCGTTGGCGAAGGGAATGAGTTGAGCTGTCTAGATCTGCTGCCGCGGATCGTCACGCGTTGAGAGGTACAATTCGGGACATCATCGAGGCCGGCTAGATCAGGCATGGTCGCAGCCGTATCAAGTACAAGTACAGGTAAGAACAGTGTACGTTGGACAATTAATCAATGAAATACCCCGGTGAGTTGCAGCCTTAGGCAAAGGGCGCCATGAACGTCCAAACGTCCCCGATCCAAAGAGCTAATACCAAACCTCTCCCAGCATACACTCACTGTCAGGGCGGTATGGTCTACTCAGACGTCTCATCGTTCCGATGCAAAATAACCTGGCACCTCCACATCTGTTCACATCGTCAACCCTGCAGTACTTGCCCTCCTAATGTTCTACCAACACCACCACCACTATAACCACCACCATCACCATCACTACCACCACAATCACCACCACCACAACCATCACCACCACCACCACCATTACCACCGTCTCGGCCACAACCTCCGCATTGATGGCGACGACTACCAAATCTCTCATTCCCACCAGCGTTTCAACCATTCCCGATGTACTATCAATCACTACACTCTCTATCGCATGTGGACTTGCTCCAAAACTGTCCTAATGGCTGTCGTGCACCCACCTCAAGCATTTACCTGGTCGGTCACATGCGAATCCAAAGCACTGTGATAGCCACAAATACATTCGCCCAATCCACCTCTACTATCCGCACAGTCCATCCACATTCACTCACAGCATGGGTCTATCCGATCACACGCGTGTCCACAACAGCCGACATCACAGAAATATCGACATGTCAATCGCACCTTACACAACCACTGATCGTCCCATCCAACAACGCGACCATAATTAGAAACCTAATAACCCCAACCGACTCTGCATCCTCCATACTATCTCGCATACAATGCCACGACACGAGTAGGTCACTCATCGGCGTGGTCGGTCATTTTCGGTTTGATCGGGGACATCTCTGTCTGGGATTCTGGCTTGCCACCTGAGCTTCAATAGTCGATGTGGGCGGCTGTGGTGGACCCGGTTGAGTTTCCTCGCATGCGCCTCTGAAGAGGTCCATGTCTCTGCTCCATACAACAGTGTCGTCAGTATGACGAGTTTTAATATCTTGAATTGTGCATTCAGATTGGTAACCGTACCACTGCTCAGCTCCGGCGAAAAAACACTTCTTGTGGAGAAACTGTGAATAACAAATCTCTTGGATTATCACGATGGAATCTCGCTGCCCAACACTGCCGAAGCGATCCTAGTTTACAGCATTCTTAATCTTTTCAACAGCCGACTTACGCATATCCCATCCCAACCTGCTCTCCGAGAAAGAAGGTTCATCCAGCACCGTGGCAAAGATGGACATACAACGGGGCACGGATCTCTCTGCAGCGGTCAGTTAATAGTCCGGCCGGAATTGGCTATCCGGTGTGCAAATTTACTGTCCATTTTGGTGCCATTTGAGAGTGTACTGCTTAATTAGACGAATTTGATCCCTGTTTTGATTTACATTTCGGTGACACTGATGGGAAAAGGATTGTATTCAGTGTTGCTGGTTGATTTCTGCGTGGATACCGCCCTTCACAGAGTTAATTATCCACAATAGCCGGCAAGGAGATCAGTGCCCCTTTTTATGTCCATCTTTGCCACGGTGCTGGATGAATCTTCGTTATCCGAGAGCAGGTTGGGATGGAATATGCGCTAGTCGGCTGTTAAGACGATTGACAGTGCTGTAAACGAGGATCGCTCCGGCAATGTCGGCCAGCAAGATTCTGCCGCGATAACCACAAAGATTGATGATTCGCAGTTTCTCCTCAAGTTGCGTTTAATCGTCGGAGTTGGGCAGCGGCGCAGTTTCTTTCGTACGGATGTCGAAGATTGCCTTGATTGAGGCGAAGTAATGATTCGTATCAATGAAGTCCGCACACCTTGGTATTTCCTCAGCCTGTCTGCAGTCCTTGTTGCACTAGGCATAGACAATGGACGTAGGCAGATTCACCTTCATCGATCTGGCGATTGAGTTAGGATTTTTGAAGCCTATGCTTGTAAACATGCAGACTGCATATTTCTGCGCCGTCCTCGTCAAGTCAGTCCATGGATTGGCGGCATGTTAGACCCAGAGCATCGTCAAACACGTAGTGTATTGTATTCCGTATTTGAAACCAATACCGTATTTGCCAATACGGTGGCAGCTCTTCCAATGACTAGGCCCCTGCCGAAATCGAAGCGGGGAGAGGATGAATTCAGCAAACTAGTATGTTGCCTACAAGGTTGTAGCCTAGCCTCTGATATTCTGTAAGGTTGCAGCCCTGGCCTCATCTTCGTTG